AGCAACCGTTACGGTTTTGAAGGCTTATTTATTTGGGACTACATATATTACACTAGCGACACACAAACTGTCACACAACTTATAGTTTCTAAAGTATGTGCTAAATCCAGACACATTACAATGCAACAGAACGCATTTGCATATATTATACTAGAGACACGAGGACTGTCACATAACTTATAGTTTCTAAAGTTTGTGCTAAAACCAGACACAGTACAATGTAACAGAACGCATTTGCGTGTAAATTGATTATTGAAATGATATTGTTTATCATACAATTACTACACAGTTTCTTCGATGTACCCCTCTATACATTGCCTTTATTATACAAATACTCACCCTAACTTAGGTGGACATACAGTTTTAGCGACCGGAATTGCTCATTGTCAACGAGGTGTACATGTGTATTATTATACCGAATAAATCTTAAAACAGAAATTGTGGCACTCAATCATGGCAATCTTCCAGGTCACACTTGTAGAGCTGAATGCATGTATGAACACAAATATACAAGTAGAAAAATGTCAAGAGCAGTGATTGAATTCTAATGAGTTTTATCATTTTTACTTTCATGGTTTTGATAAACCCTAATTTCAACAGATTCTGCCTGACGAAGAATTTGTTTGCAGCAACATCCGGTGCCACCCTGTGTGCAGCTATACGCTACGCTGCGTTCAAGTCCGCATTACATGTAGAACAATGAAACGAGCTGCACACGGAGCTGCACGCTGCTTGAGTATAGGTTTATGTCAATATCATTCTCTTTCAACAAATACACTGTATATAATATGTCAATATACTGTCAAAACACACAAAATAATATAGACCTTAGAAAGAGAGGGACAGGCAACTACAGTATTTCTTTTGTTTTAACCTCACAATCCTATTAACGAAAAATAGGCCAATGGCCTGTTGCTCAACGGCTATTGTACAAACGATTAGTGCTGTATATTACAAATACCCCACAAGGCAGTGAGTAAGACAATAAAACATAATGCTAAAAGTGGAATTTTTTACAAAAATAGCAGAAATATTCAATAAAATTAGAATCAAAGAGAGCTTAAAAAGAGAGAATAACATAACATATTTGCAATTATCTGAATTCGTAATACATGTATATTACCAAGTTTTGTTGAAATATGTTGAATGATTCTTGAAATAGCACCAAAAATTTCCATCAAAAACTAAATATATCTGGAAACTGCCCCAACACATCTGTGTACCAAGTTTTAGTAAAACATATTAAATGGTTCTCAAGATATCACCAAAATAGTCTAAATATTGGTATGTAAATTAGGCAATTTGCATAATTTTCCACCAAAATCAATCATGTCTATACACATTTAAATATGTTGAGTTGTTATGTTTTCATTACAATCACAATAGACCAATCAAAGAAAACTTAGAACTCCCATGTGCTATGTGAGAATGAGAAACAGTTGACAGAACAAATAGGAAACATTACATATCTCCATGTGAGCATATAATTTCAATATGGCATCATTGTATAATCTTCCCAAGTTTTGTTCATTTTCCGACATCTGTAGTGCATTAAGGAGAAGTTAATAACAAAATCATGAATTTCTGAAATTTTTGATAAATTTGGCCATTTTTAGTGACTGGGTGAAGTGTCATCCAAGTTACATGTGTACTAAGTATCAAAGAATTTGGACTACTCGTTTTGAAGTCAAAAGTACCATTTTTGATGAAAAATAAGAAAATATTTGCTAAAAATAGAGAATTGAAGATGTCAACACAAAATGAACAAATCTGATAGAGGTCCATCCAACGTATATACCATGCTAGTTTGACCAAAAATGCCAAACATATTTGCTAAAAATAGAAAATTGTAGATATGGACATGAAATGATAAAAATAGAGAATTGAAGATGTCAACACAAAATGAATAAATCTGATAGAGGTCCACCCAAGGTATATACCACGCGAGTTTGAGTGCAATTGGACCAGAAGTTTCACAGAAGAAGTCGAAAATAGCATTTTTGACCAAAAGTGCCCCAAACATAGGGATTTGTAGATATGGTCACAAAATGAACAAATCCGAGAGGTAACCACCCAAGGTACATTCTAAGAAAATTTGACAGCCATACAGCTTGTGGTTCACAAGACGACGACGGGCAATCAGTAATACCATTAGCTCCACTCGAGGTTGTCTACAGCAGAGCTAATAAATGGGAAGGTGTCTGGAGAAAAATGCAAACTATTTTACAATGTTGCAATAATTTTTTGCCAGTTTTCCATTCAATGCTGGCCATATTTGTTTTCAAATGGTCCACCGCACTTATGGGTAAGAACATCAACAGGATAAACACAGTGATAGGATACAACATATGCTATTCATTTATTGTCAACTTCAAGATAAAACTACCGATATACTGGAACAAAAAAGGTGCTTGTTTTAGCAAGATACTGATCTGAAAAATGATACATGTGATATGATATATTGGTGCTAATGAATATTCATTCACTGGATCGTCTAAATATTTGCCAAACAAATACATATAGAAAACTTGCTGGAGCATGTGAATTAAAGTTGAAATGTATTGAATGTGAATAATATACCAAACATTTTGTAAAATACTGAAAATTATGATGCAAGGCTTCAAGTTGACTTAGTTTTATGCGACCATTTGCTGTGATGAACATCAAAAATAATGCATGAGAGGAATTAACATGCTTTTAGCGAGATGCATTTATTTGAACAAGTAGTGGTATCATCTTGTGAATTGTGGCAGTGCTAACTAATGAGACTGACCAAAAAACATTTAATATATCAGGTTATTGTATATTTACGTTTCCAAATTGTCATGAAATTAATATTCATAATGTTTGGTTCTATACTTTGTGAAAAACAGGTATATTTGAGGCTACTATGTTTGAAATTTTCTAAGATAGTTGAATATTTAGTAGCAAAAAAAAAATCAAAATATCTGATACAAACCGTTTTTTGTTTTTTTAAAGTACAAAACAAAAGATAAAAATACCAGTATTGATTATCATAGTAATTAATTCAAAACGCACAAACAATTTAAAAGTAACACATTAACACTGAAAATTTAACAGTTCCAAAGTGTTTCAAAAATTCTAGACAATTTTTTTCTTTGAGGCACTTTTTTGTTTGTTTTGTTTGTCTATACAGTACTGTAGTGACAGTTCAGATATATGACGAAATGTAGTGACAGCGTGCATCTATACAGTACTGTAGTGACAGGTTAGACCTATGAAGAAATGTAGTGACAGCTTACATCTATACAATACTGTAGTAACAGGACATATCTATGGAGAAATGTAGTGACAGCTTGCATCTATACAGTACTGTAGCGACAGGACATATCTATTGAGAAATGTAGTGAAAGCTTGCATCTATACAGTACTGTAGTGACAGGTCAGATCTATGCAGATATGTAGTGACAGCTTGCGTCTATACGGTACTGTAGTGACAGGTCAGAACTATGGAGAAATGTAGTGACAGCTTGCGTCTATACAGTACTGTAGTGACAGGTCAGATCTAAGAAGAAATGTAGTGACAGCTTGCATCTATACAGTACTGTAGTGACAGGTTAGACCTATGAAGAAATGTAGTGACAGCTTACATCTATACAATACTGTAGTAACAGGACATATCTATGGAGAAATGTAGTGACAGCTTGCATCTATACAGTACTGTAGCGACAGGACATATCTATTGAGAAATGTAGTGAAAGCTTGCATCTATACAGTACTGTAGTGACAGGTCAGATCTATGCAGATATGTAGTGATAGCTTGCGTCTATACGGTACTGTAGTGACAGGTCAGATCTATGGAGAAATGTAGTGACAGCTTGCGTCTATACAGTACTGTAGTGACAGGTCAGATCTATGAAGAAATGTAGTGACAGCTTGCATCTATACAGTACTGTAGTGACAGGTCAGG